GCCAAATCCCAGAGCTACAGGAAAAGAGACGGAACGGCCAACGAGGAGGCTCCGTCTGCGCCGCGACCAGGAAGTCCCACCTCCTCACAGATACAGGTGAGCGGACGCCGTTCTGCCGTCGCAAACGCACTGAAGAGAAAACTGTACCACTGGACTGTGTCTGGGAGGGCATCTGGTGTAGAAAGCATCTTCCAGCGGCTCCAAATCACGTGTTTACAGATTCATCGACTCATTAGACGTGACTAAATCTCAATCCTAATTAAAATACAGAACTGTTCCAACCCTACGTTGTACTGCTTTGTACTCGGACAGATCCACAAACTCAACCAGCACTAATCTGGACGTGTCGGAGTTTGTGGACGTGTCGGAGTTTGCGGACGTGTCGGAGTTTGCGGACGTGTCGGAGTTTGCGGACGTGTCGGAGTTTGCGGACGTGTCGGAGTGAGTTTGCGGACGTGTCGGAGTGAGTTTGCGGACGTGTCTGAGTTTGCGGACGTGTCGGAGTTTTGTGGATCTGTCGGAGTTTGTGGACGTGTCGGAGTTTGCGGACGTGTCTGAGTTTGCGGACGTGTCTGAGTTTGCGGACGTGTCGGAGTTTGCGGACGTGTCGGAGTTTGCGGACGTGTCTGAGTTTGCGGACGTGTCGGAGTTTGCGGACGTGTCGGAGTGAGTTTGCGGACGTGTCGGACGTGTCTGAGTTTGCGGACGTGTCGGAGTGAGTTTGCGGACGTGTCGGAGTGAGTTTGCGGACGTGTCTGAGTTTGCGGACGTGTCTGAGTTTGCTGACGGATGTGTCGGAGTGAGTTGCGGACGTGTCGGAGTTTGCGGACGTGTCGGAGTGAGTTTGCGGACGTGTCGGAGTTTGCGGGACGTGTCGGAGTGAGTTTGCGGACGTGTCTGAGTTTGCGGACGTGCGGACGTGTCGGAGTGAGTTGACGGAGTGTCGGAGTGGAGTTTGCGGACGTGTCGGAGTGAGTTTGCGGACGTGTCGGAGTTGAGTTTGCGGACGTGTCGGAGTGAGTTTGCGGACGTGTCGGAGTTTTGCGGACGTGTCGGAGTTTGCGCGGAGTCGTTTCGGAGTTTGCGGACGTGTCGGACGTGTCGGAGTTTGCGGACGTGTCGGAGTTTGCGGACGTGTCGGAGTTTGCGGACGTGTCGTTTGACGTGAGTGAGTTTGCGGACGTGTCGGAGTTTGCGGACGTGTCGGAGTTTGCGGACTGTGAGTGCGGACGTGTCGGAGTTTGCGGACGTGTCGGAGTTTGCGGACGTGTCGGAGTGAGTTTGCGGACGTGTCGGAGTTTGCGGACGTGTCGGAGTTTGCGGACGTGTCGGAGTTTGCGGACGTGTCGGAGTTTGCGGACGTGTCGGAGTTTGCGGACGTGTCGGAGTTTGCGGACGTGTCGGAGTTTGCGGACGTGTCGGAGTTTGCGGACGTGTGCGGAGTGTTTTGCGGACGTGTCGGACGTGTGAGTTTGCGGACGTGTCGGAGTTTGCGGACGTGTCGGGAGTTTGCGGACGTGTCGGAGTTTGCGGACGTGTCGGACGTGTGAGTTTGCGGACGTGTCGGAGTTTGCGGACGTGTCGGAGTTTGCGGACGTGTCGGAGTGAGTTTGCGGAGTTCGGAGTTGCGGACGTGTCGGAGTTTGCGGACGTGTCGGACGTGAGTGCGGACGTGTCGTGAGTTTGCGGACGTGTCGGAGTTTTTGCGGACGTGTCGGAGTTTGCGGACGTGTCGGAGTTTGCGGACGTGTCGGAGTTTGCGGACGTGTCGGAGTTTGCGGACGTGTCGGAGTGAGTTTGCGGACGTGTCGGAGTTTGCGGACGTGTCGGAGTGAGTTTGCGGACGTGTCGGAGTGAGTTTGCGGACGTGTCGGAGTTTGCGGACGTGTCGGAGTGTCGGAGTGTTTGCGGACGTGTCGGAGTGTCGGAGTTTGCGGACGTGTCGGAGTTTGCGGACGTGTCGGAGTTTGCGGACGTGTCGGAGTTTGCGGACGTGTCGGAGTGAGTTTTGCGGACGTGTCTGAGTTTGCGGACGTGTCGGAGTTTGCGGACGTGTCGGAGTTTTTGCGGGCGTGTCGGAGTTTGCGGATGTGTCGGAGTTTGCGGACGTGTCGGAGTGAGTTTGCGGACTGTCGGAGTTTGCGGACGTGTCGGAGTTTGCGGACGTGTCTGAGTTTGCGGACGTGTCTGAGTTTGCGGGCGTGTCGGAGTTTGCGGGCGCGTCGGAGTTTGCGGGCGCGTCGGAGTTTGCGGACGCGTCGGAGTTCGCGGACCTTTCGGAGTTTGCGGACGCGTCGGAGTTCGCGGACGCGTCGGAGTTCGCGGACGCGTCGGAGTTTGCGGATTTCTCAAAATGAGTGTCTCAAAATTACGTCATACCAGAAATATGAATCACATTTTACAAACAGAATTTTGAGTTTTACAAATGAAATAATTTTTTGCAAATGAAATAAAGATATATTTACAAATACACATCTATTTGTAAATGCCAAAATACAAGTTACTAATATTAAATTTGCATTTGTGGATCAAAAAACATGCACAAACCAATGACTATTTGTAGATCACCATCTTTGTATTTGTGAATATTAATGAGACAAAAGTAATCCCATACAAACCACGTGACAGTGAGCACACAAACGGCTGGAGCTGCAGGCAGGAGCTGCAGGCAGGAGCTGCAGGCAGGAGCTGCAGGCAGGAGCTGCAGGCTGGAGCTGCAGGCAGGAGTGGTCCTTAAAGAGCGATTGTCAGTGAATCACAGTTTCTCACCTTCTTTTTACCCAGTTTGGAGACTTGGGCCATTTTCACCTGTATTTTCCATTTGCCCGTTTACTTAGTTTTATTTTTGTTTTATTTTCGTGTGTTTCTTGCAGTTGAAGTCGGGGGGCGCCGGTCGCAGGAGAGGAGGGAACAGACACCGATCGAAAGGGCTGAACGTAGCGCCGATGCCCACGCCTGTGTCCACCGGAGCCGGGACTGCCTGAAATCAATCAATCAATCCATAATCGGGACTAATGTGCCGTTAAAAGACGAACGAGACCTGGAAAAACTCAAAATATTCAACTGTGATCATGAAAATATAAGTCTAAAATGCCCATGTTACACTTTAATGTTGTTTCCTCGTCACAAACAGACCCGGAGTTGCGTTTTGTTTCGTTCACACATGTTCAACAACAACGTAGAAAACACGCCGTTCCACCTTGTGATGTCACGAGGTAATACAGAAGGGCTCCACTGTGTTTTTAAACTCCACACACCTTCACTAGAATCATTTGGATCATTTCAGCCTCGGGATTTTCCGATCTCTGCCGAACTAAAGGGAGAAAAGGAGCTGTTCACGTGAAAACTATCGCTCTTGATGACATCACAAGGTGGAGCCGAGCGTTTTGGGGTTTGGAGATGAACACAGACTGATGATAAAGAGTTTCTCGAACATGTGAATGAAACAAAACACAACTCCAGGTCTGTTTTTGAGGAGGGAACAACATCATAACCCGACTTAAAGGCAGTGGTGAATGTTGAGTATCTGTACTTTACTTTTACTTTTACTTCACTACATCTGAGAGCAGGTATTTGTACTTTCTACTCCACTACATTTTTGAACCAGACTGAAAAGTAAAAGTATTTTTATCAGAGTTTGAAACCTGCTGAAAAACGTCGAAGATTTTATTTTTAACACGTTTGTATTTTGAGCAAACAAATAAAAACAGCTACAAAAAACGATTGATTCATTGATTTGTTTCTGTTGATCTCAAAATCCGCTCAAAATACTTTTACTTTTTAGTCTTTAAGTACATTTTTAAACAGTTACTTTAATACTTTCACTAGGGATGTAACAATAAGCAAAATATCGTCAAAGTTCTCACAATAATATGTTGGACCATCACAATATATCGACTCACAAGTCTCTTTGATTAAATGAAGAGTTATGATGCAGCAATAAAAAAAAGGGGCCGGAATCAGAAAACTCATGTCATATAAACCCCCAAAAATAACAATAAATTCAAATATTGTATTGTACAATATTTTCTCTAAAACCAAAAGTGAAAAAACAGAATTGATTTGTTTTTTCAGGAGTTTCAGTTCGATTTTGTGTTTAAATGAAAAATGGAAAAAACGGATAACGACTAAAGCAGGACTAAACCAGGACTAAAACAGGACTAAAGCAGGACTAAACCAGGACTAAAGCAGGACTAAAGCAGGACTAAAGCAGGACTAAAACAGGACTAAAGCAGGACTAAACCAGGACTAAAGCAGGACTGAAACAGGACTAAAACAGGACTAAAGCAGGACTAAAACAGGACTAAAGCAGGTCTAAACCAGGACTAAAGCAGGACTAAAGCAGGACTAAAGCAGGTCTAAACCAGGACTAAACCAGGTCTAAAACAGGACTGAAGCAGGTCTAAACCAGGACTAAAACAGGACTAAACCAGGACTGAAGCAGGTCTAAACCAGGACTAAAACAGGACTAAAAAAAGACTAAAAACAGGACTAAAACAGGACTAAACCAGGACTGAAGCAGGTCTAAACCAGGACTAAAACAGGACTGAAGCAGGTCTAAACCGGGACTATACCAGGTCTAAACCAAGTCTGAACCAGGACCCAACCAGGACCGAACCAGGACTTGAACCAGATCTGAACCAGGACTTGAACCAGGTCCGGGACTGAAACCAGGACTGAGACCAGGACCGGACCAGGACTGAAAACGATTTAGTCCTGGTTTAGTCCTGGTTCAGTCCTGGTTTAGTCCTGGTTTAGTCCTGGTTTAGTCCTGTTTTCAGTCCTGTTTTAGTCCTGGTTCAGTCCTGGTTTAGTCCTGGTTTAGTCCTGGTTCAGTCCTGGTTCAGTCCTGGTTTAGTCCAGCGTTGCAGTTTAAGTCACATAAACAGGAAACGGCCGTTATCCGTTTTTTTCCTTTTTTCATTTAAACACAAAATCGAAAACTGAAAAAACAAATCATTATCTGTTTTTTCATTTTGGTTTTGGAGACAAATAACAAAGAAAGTCCTTGTTTTTTTTTTTTTTTTCTTACTTTTGGTTTTATTTTGAAAAACAAATGAACGAATGACCCACAGATTCACCATGGGCCGTTTCATTATTTCTCTTTCCTCGATTCCTTCTCCTCGATTCTGTAGGAAACGGGTGAGGAAATCCCGTCCACAGAGGAAACAAAACGAAGAGAGAGGATCTAAACTCCAATAAATTTTGATTCTTTTATCCGGTATCTGCCTCCTGAAGCCTCCCTCGTGTTTACTCCTTCTTTTCGAGGTTTTCTTTTGGACACTTCAGTTGACTGACAGCTGAAAAACGGAGGATCAAGGAGACGAAACAAGGAGAAGGAAGCGAGGAAACGGAAATGAGACGCGGCCCGTGTGCTCAAACTTTGAAAAAACTAGACTGAAACAATGACTTTTGGTAACATTTTAAATATAAAGATGTTAATTATGTTTTAGTGAAATGGTCTAACCTGTCATATGCACATTTTTTTTAAACAATAACACTAAATTTCCATGTTTCCTTGTCTCAAAAAGCTTTTCAAAGTAAGAATCCGATTTGTTATACTGTTTTGGGGGCAAACAATCAAATCAAACCACCTACTTTCTTTGGATTTCATTTTTACAGTCTGGATTTCCATAAAAACAGGATTCATCTGTAGCTATTGTGTCCAAAAAAAACTATTCTCATCTCAAATTTATATATTTTTTTGCCATTTTGTGAACTCAAACTGTGCTAAAAGCAAAAAGCCAGGCTCTTATTTTGTAGGCAGACCCTGTTTCCTGTCTCTTTCACAATAAGAGCTCATTTTTTTCGAGGCTGTTTTTCTAAACTGTTTGATTTCGCAGTTTATTTAAGAAAAAAACCCACACACACACATTTTTAAAGCTGGTGCCTCTATTTTCTTAAACGCAAAAGAGGATTTTATTTTGAAAGACAGATTTTGTGAGTTAAACAAATAAAACTGTACAGAAGCTGCAGTCGATGACGCGGCGACGTTTGTGTTGTAAAGGATTTTAAATAAAGATGTCAAAAGGAAAAGTGTTCTGTTTTTTAAGATTTACAATAGAAACAAGACAATAGATTTGTTAGACAGTCCGAGGTTTCCTTTTTGGTTCTTCCTGTGGATCAATCCTGCCCATCGCAAATCCGTGTGTCATTCATTCTTTTGTTTTTCAATATAAAACCAAAAATAAGAAAACGAAAATACAGCAGTTTTCTTCGTTATTTGTCTCCAAAACCAAAATGAAAAAACGGATAATGATTCGTTTTTTCAGTTTTCGATTTTGTGTTTAAATGAAGAATGGAAAAAACGGATAACGGCCGTTTCCCGTTTACATGACTTCTGTGACTGTGATGCTGGACTTTTGCACCGCATACGGACTGATCGAGGTCCGAGACCAGACCGGGACCAGAGCAGGACCAGAGCGGGACCAGAGTGCTACTGAGACTGGGACCAGAGCGGGACCAGGGCGGACTACGAGCTGTGACTCCGAGCCTCCGTGGGGTCCGAGCCTCAGCTTCGAGTTCTGCTGCTCTGAGAGACAAATAACGAAGAAAACTGTTGTATTGTCGTTTTCTTATTTTTGGTTTTATATTGAAAAACGAATGAACGAACGACACACGGATTCATCGCCTTCACCTTTCACTATTTTTCAATTCCGTTGTGAAGAGTAACAGTTTGAACAGAGGTTTGAGTCACACACATCTGATTCACTTTTGCATTTATGGAGTTCACAAACAAATTTCTCGAGCCGTTTTCCACTGTTTGGATCCAACAACCACAACAGTTATCGATGTCCGAATCCCAAAACTAAAATATGACAATATCAGAACCAGAAACAAAAGTGATATGGTTCAAAAGACTTGAAAAGATCGACTTTGACAATAGACACATCCCACTGGGAAAACAAACATGGAGGTTTGATGTTCACTTTTTCAGAAAATTCTTCCCAGTGTGAATTGCGCGATGACCGGAAGTCCGAGATTCTTGATGCGTCTGTTAGACTTTAATGCAGACCTGAGCATCGTGCAGCTCACGGGGCCACACACGGTCGTTTGGTGACTCTGACCGGCTCGTTTAAGCTCATTTGGAATTATAAAATACACATTGCTTTTATTTTAAGTGTTTTTTAATGACAGTTTATGTAAGGCAGCCTCACTTTAATTTTTTTTTGTGCTTAATCATAACATAAACTCTTACCAGTCTGACCAATGTGTCAAAACAATGATATTTACTGCTTTTTATAAAGAAAAAAAATTTATATTATGCAGAATTGAGTTAAGCATTTTGGCTATATGTATTCGCTCTATTCACGTTTACGTCACAAAACCGGAAGACATTTGGAAACATGAGGATGACGACTTTCTCTGGGCTCCGTTGGCGACAGCAACTCTGATAAAATTAAGAATATTCATTTTTAGATGTGTAGATGTGACTGTATCTTTCCGTTTGTTCGTCAGATCAACAGTTCCGACCTGTGAGTGACACTGAAAACACGATTAGAGTCCCGTCCCCGAAGTGGGTTAAGTGTCTTGCCCAATTACACAACGGCAGCGTTCACCTGCGGGAACTAGAAAACATCAATATTTAGCACCTCTCCTTTTTATCCACCAGGGGTCAGTGTTGCATCAGATTTAGATTCAAAAGAGATTACGTAAGGATTTTAACAATATTTCTGAAATGTCACTCAAAAAAAAAAAAAAGACTTTTATCGAGTGATCTCAGTCAACTCAACTATCAAATATAATTCACACAAAAACATATAATATATATTAAATATAAGACAAAAACTGTTATTGTTTCATTTACTCCTGGTTTTAGTTGTGGTTTAGTCTTGGTTTAGTCCTGGTTCAGTCCTGTTTTTGTTCTGGTTTAGTTTAGTCCTGGTTCAGTCCTGGTCTAGTCTTGGTTTAGTCCTGGTTTATTTCTGTTTTAGTCCTGGTTTAGTCCTGGTTTAGTCCTGGTTTAGTCCTGGTTTAGTCCTGGTTTAGTCTGGTTTAGTCTGGTTAGTCCTGGTTTTAGTCCTGTTTTTGTCCTGGTTTAGTCCTGGTTAGTCCTGGTTTTAGTCCTGGTTTAGTCCTGGTTCAGTCCTGGTTTAGTCCTGTTTTTGTGGTTTCCTGGTTTAGTCCTGGTTTTAGTCCTGGTTAGTCCTGGTTTAGTCCTGGTTTAGTCTGTTTAGTCCTGTTTAGTCCTGGTTTAGTCCTGGTTAGTAGTCCTGGTTTAGTCCTGGTTTAGTCCTGGTTAGTCCTGTCCTGGTTTAGTCCTGGTTTAGTCCTGGTTTAGTCCTGGTAGTCCTGGTTTAGTCCTGGTTTAGTCCTGGTCTAGTCCTGGTTTAGTCCTGGTTTAGTCCTGGTTTAGTCCTGGTTTAGTCCTACTACTACTGTTTCTACCTCTAAACCAGGACTAAACCTGGACTAAACCAGGACTAAACCAGGACTTATGGATCAGTTCTTTGAGATGTGCACCTGTTCATAGAAGAGGATAACCACTCTCCCTCCCTCCGTCGCTCTCTCTCTTTCATTTTCCTTTCACTTTTTCTTTCTCACGTCGGTGAAAAGACGCAGAGTCTCGTAATCAAGCGCAATTCTGAGCCTGAGCTGCGAGGAGACACGAGGAGAGACGAGCGGGAGACGAGGAGAGACGAGGAGGACGAGGAGGAGACGAGGAGAGACGAGGAGGAGGAGGAGGAGAGGCTGAAGAAAAGAAATAAAACTGTCACATACTG